TGCCGAGGCAGGAACTGAAGTTATTTAATTGAGAAGGAAGATCTAAAATGCAGAAGGAAGGTGAGAGCAGCAGGGCATCTGTTATCTTTTCTGCAGCCTGAGATTACTGGGAGAGACTTGTCATCTGAATGAAAGGATGCTGCAGCTACAGCCACATCACAAGCTGCAGGAGTTTTGACAAATCTGTATCCAGGAGATGCTATGGATGAACATACTGGGAACTGGGGTGGAAGGGCAAAGACAGGAAATTTCTTTCTCTTTCCAAGCAATAAGAAGCTGACAGTTTCAAGTTTATCAGGTGTATTAACTGTAGGCTGACAGGAAGGGGAAATAGAGCCCCACTAAACCCAAAACAAAATCTTGAAGTGAGATTCAAAGAAGGCACCTTTGTTAAAAACCTAGGATCTCTTCCTTTCTTGTTTTGAAGATTTGAAAGAAGTCAGGTAGGTCTGTGCTTTAGCCTTGCTCATAAACTTTGTTACTCCCTAGTGGCCTGTAACAGCTGCTGGTGGCTACCATGTTACTCTCTGTCTAGAAGGTGCCTGGCAAATATTCTCATCCCTGTGAGCATATACACTCGGTGCTCAGCCTGTCCAGCTCATAAAATACATGTTGTTGAAACAAGAGTGGGAGGGAGATGGTGCAGGTAGAAAGGAGACTTTCCCTAAAGAAAGACTCCAACAATACCTGAGAGCTGCTGATGAGATTTCTAAGATGGGAAGTCCAGAAGCTGTGCACTCTGAATCAGCAAGGTAAATTTTATAAGCAGAATAATAAATAAAGCAGTAGAGTGAGTATTACTGGAAGAGGCTTTTACTATTGCAAACCCCTGAAACATTCACAAGAACAAAACTTTCTTGCAGATTTGGGACTATCTCCTCATCTTACTGCCCTCATGGCAGGTGGACGGCCATTAGGAAACAGCAGCAGCACAGGAGACACAGGTTTCAGCTGCTCACAGGATTCAGGTAACTACAAGTCTCTTGCTTTCTTTACTTGGGCAGAAGCTTGCACTTGGCAGAACTCACTGGGATAGTCAGTATTTACACACACAGATGTCTTTTGGTGGATGAATGACATGAAGCATCTGTTCCAGCTGTTACAACAAAACTGCTGCAATTGCTTTTTTCCTTCCTTGCTCTCAATATATTTACTTGCAAAATGCTGTTTACAGAATAATGACCCTCCCTTGTTAATGTGTCCTGGGAACAAGACTCACTGCTTTTGTGCCCTTCTCCTTTAGTTTTCTATTGTTCTTTGGAGACTTTCCCCGTATCCACAAGGAACAGAGCAACAAAGGGCTGTGGAGAATGTGCTTCTCTTTTCTATTTTGTAAGAGACCTTGTTTTGTTCATCCTGCAATGTAAACATAAACACTTGGAATGGCTTTAGCTTATGATTTCATCACTACTTAAGATCTCTCAATTGAAGTTGTTTTGGAAAAGGGAAAAACAGTTCTGCCAGTAATTTTCTATCCAGAATTGTTGCTAGATTTTTGTGGCAGTTGATTCAGCTACCACTCCTTAACTGCCCTAGTTTAAGAGTATTTCTGCTGTAGAGACAGCAGAGGGTGATCTTCTAACATTCGCTTGGTGTAAGGGGTTTGTTTCTTTTGTAAAGGAAAACGTGAGCTGGGATTTATTTATGGCCTTCTTTTATGCTGGTAGTTTTATGCCTGTTGTGGGTGTTCTGCAGCTTTATGTGATAAAGGAGAACAACATCCTGGTAAACCTGCGTCAGTAAAGTGGATGTTGTGTTACCATTTTTTGAAGGACAGTGAGCAGTTTAAACAAATGAACGAACTAAAGAGATAGTGAGTGCTGTTAGAAGTGCCACTGTTGGTTAAAGAGGGAGTATGGATTAAAGCCTGGGAATGGATATACAGTGATGCACTGTGAAATAATGTTTCACTGGATACTTTTACTGTGAGGAACTAAAGAGCAGCAAGAAGTCTTAGTCCCTCTTCAATGTTGCCTGCTGCATGTAGTACGTGATTCCGTGGCCTGTAGTGCAGTTGTGTCTTTATCTTCCCTGGTAAACAGAAACTGGGCTTTTCATGTTGTGAAAAACAGATAAAGTATGGAAGAGGAAAAAAAATCCAAGTGGTGCCAGCTGTACACAAAATACGAAGTGAGACCTGAGTCCCAAATACTAGAAACGTTGCCTTAAGATCAGTTATTCCAAGGAAAAAGATCCACCGTGTAAGAATAAGAAGCTAGTTTCTTCACCAGCCACGTTTGAAAAAAAGCACTAAAATTCTACTGCATGGAAGAATATATCTTTCTTCCTAGTGCCACTCTTCCATTACATGCTACATTTCTGAGGAGGATTTGGTACCCTAGTAGATCAGTAAGAGTCTACTGCTTTCAGATCAAAAGCAGTCAAGTGGGTGAAGAGGGATATGAAATCACCATCCAGAGGAGTTACAAAATCTGGAAGGGACTTTGTCCTAGGTCTGTTGTCACATCACAGGAGTAAATGGATTGATAGTAGAGTGCCATATATTGAATGTGTGCAATCTGTGTCTTCCAACAACAGCTTCCCTGAGAACTGCTTTCTCAGCAGTGCCCTAGTGTGTCCACAAAATACTTGCTCTGCTTTTCCTTTATGCAGCAGAGAGACCAGCATTACAAGGAAGGTGTAGGCTGCAGTCTTGCCCTCTGTGTGAAAGCATTGCAGAGATGCCAAGAATTTCCTTGTGCTTTTTAAACTCTTATTTTATGTTGGAAAGGTGCAAAGCAGATTCAGGGAGGTGAAATTTAAAAAAAAAAAATAAAAAATCCTGAACTGGAAAAAAGACTCATTGGACAAAAATCATTCCCAACCAGCAAGGAATTTTTCCCCATTAAAATACACTTCAAGAAAGTGAAAGTAGGTTACTAGAGACAAACTAAATTGAACAGAAAAATTCTGCAGTTCAAATTCTACCCAGGTCTGATTACAAGCAGACATTTGGCAGCTATGGTTGTCTGCCTCTTGGGTAGCCACTGTTGGCCTCTTGTCTTCATCAGGAAATGGGAGAAGTTGCTCTCAACTTTACCTTTTATTTACTGAAGGTAAGGTTTCACCTTTATCTGCTGTCCTATTGACATTATAAGCTCTTCAGCTGAGAATTTTGAAGCTGCTTGAAGTTTTAGATGGCTAGTGAGAAAAGATTTCCCAATCCTTTGAATGAAAACTCTGACCTCATTCTTTTCCTTTTCAGTGTTTAATTAGAGCTGAAATTTACTCCCAAAAGCTGAGTTTAGACCTCTTTTGAAGGAACTGCTATAGACAGAAAAGTTTTTGCCAGGACATTGTATCCCAGTGTTACTGTCTTACTTGAGAATGCTTGCATTGTTTCAGGAACAGATACAATGCTTCTTGAAGATTATAGCTCAGATGGCCCTCATGCCCCACACTGCATCTGTCCTCCTCGACGGAGGAGTTCAGTGACATTTGAAGATGAGGTAGAGCAAATTAAAGGTGAGTTTAGGGGTAAGTATGTAAATGCTCAGAACTAACTATATTGCCTGCTCAGGAAGCCTCTCAGAACCTTCATAATTGTCTTACAACATCACTGATCACTCTTTGCCTTGACAGACCTCACCATTCATGCAGGTAAAAGAGAAAGCAAGATCAGGTCTTCTAGTTCTCAAGTAACAACAGACAAGGACAAGTTAGAAGCTGGGATTCCCAGCATACATATCATTTATATAGCACAGCAGTATCCTCTCTGCCACTCCATTTATCTTGGTGGCTGTTGCAATCTGTTTTGTGTTTCTCAGAGAATATATTTTTCTGTGCTCATATTTTGATTGCAATATCCCTGTGTTCCTCATTTGCTGCTTTCTCTCAACTTTATCATTCACAAACTTGAAATTCTTCTATTTACACGCTTGAATAGTCTGAATATAATTTCATTCTGGTATACTTACTTTTTTTACTTAACTTCTATTTCACTTTGCTAGGTATGTTCCTCAGCAGATATGGGTGAAAATAGATAAACAACATGCACTTATTTCAGTCAAATCACTCTTTAATTCTCTGCTAGCAAAGCGTTGCTGTGATCATCTGTAAAATGTTGGAAAGTTAATTTACGCTGGTAGTTACAATAATATGGAATAGAAGGCTAACAACCTAATTTTCTAAACAGTACGTGATTGTGGACAGTATGAAAACGAGCAGAAAGCCTTTAAGATTCAAGTAATAATAAAACCTGAGATAATGAGAATCCTTTCTATGGAATTTTTAAGCATCTTAGCAAAATTCACTTTAGTCCTCTTCCCAGCATGAGATGAATATTTCCTTGTACAAATACCTTACCATATAGGTTGCCCATTATTTTTATGAGTGATTACATGGGAGCTGACATCTAATTTTTCGTCTGAGCAAAAGAGGAAGGTTTTAGTGAAAAAGTCCCTCACAGGTTTAGCAATTCTCTCTGGTAAGTCTCAGGGTTTTCAGGATCTCTGAGACTTTCAATTATTTCAACTCACTGAAGAGTTACATTTAGGATGAAAATCTTTATTGCTCAACATGTTGGTGGGTAGAGAAGTATACAGATGCTACAAGAGCAACTGCACCAGCACTGAAGAGCAGGTGTATCCCAGGTCACTCTGGGATATTGTATTCATAGAATGGTTTTGAAAGCCTGAGTATTGTTGGCAAATGTGCTCTGTAGAACAGTTATTTTGCAGAGGACGTGATCATACCTGTAAAAAAGGATCAATATTGGTCTTAAAGCATTTGCACAGCCGTGCTGATCAACACTTATGCTGCCTTTTTTTTACCTCTTTTTTTCCAGAAGCTGCAAAGAATTCTGTTCTTCATGTAAAAGCCGAAGTCCATAAATCTCTGGACAGTTATGCAACCAGTCTAGCAAGAGCTATTGAAGCTGATGTGAAACTGAGCTTGTTTGGGGAAGATGCTTTACCAGGAGCCCTGTTCCCGGTGCGGACTCTGCCAGGAGGCAGCACGAACACACGGCGTGGTGCCAGGCCCCATGCCAGCCAAAGACTGAAGTTGCAGAGCATCGATGAAGGGAATATCTGACACCAGCACTGGAGTAAGAAAAGAGAACAAAACCACTAAGCAGGACCTATTGCAGCTGTTAGTGTTTCAACAGAACCAGGATACCTTGTGGGAATGTTTTCAGTGTTTCTTCAACATTTGAAAGCCAGCTGAATTTTGGCACTTGCATCAGCATTTTACAGTAGTGTTTGTTTACTGTTTAGGGTGCTATTGACTTTTCTGTGCCATGTCTTTATCACACAGTTCATAGGAATGCAGGGTTTGGTTTCGCTGACCAGATCATTAGTCTGTTGAATCTTGGGTCCATTATTGGCCAAAGCTGATAAAGGAAAAAAGCAGGAAAAGTATGTGCAGTGTTTTAATTTATTGTTGTATTCATCGTCTTCTGAACACCAGGATAATCAGTTGATACTTGATAGCTGGAGTGCTCTGATAGGAGCTTGTACATGGGATACTACATACAGCCTTACTGTCACAGACTCCTAGATGAGGAGCATGGACTTTACTGAGGGCAAAACCTGAATTTTTCAGAAAGCTCACGCAGCTTATAGTCCCACTTACCTTTTGCTGGGGGATATTTCTGTTTGTTCAGCCATCAGAATGGCACATAAGATCTGGCAGTGGATTGTGCATTGCTTCAGAGGTACGGAGCACCAGCCTCCCTGGATATAGTGGGTGGGAGCAGACCTGTGCTGGAAAAGCATAAAGATGGTATTTGAGGAAATCGTTAATGCAGAATTCTTAGTTTCTCTGAGAACTTCAGCTCACGTCCCTGGTTTTGCTTTTACTAAAAGGGCACTCTGTGGCTGTGCTAAGCTTGACAGAATATAAACAAGATATTGCCACTTCATATTCAGGATTCATCTTTTCTAGAGAGAAAAGAGTTGTTTGGTGTTTTGGTTTTTTTTAGTCATGAGGGAATGTAGTATTTAAGCTATACTTACCTCAGTGCTTCTATTTCTTGGAGTATTAATTAATCTCAAAAATAAGAACATTTGGCACTTATATTGCACTTTGCATGTTCTTAAGCACTGTACAGACATTACCTTGTTAGGCCTTTGTGAGAAGGTTGATCAGCCCTGCTTGCCAAAGAAGGGGAACTCAGCACAGTCAAGCTGCTGGCAGTGAAACAGTCTGCAAAGGTGGAAAGGTTTGTTATGAAAAGAAGGATTAGGTGGATCATACAAGTATAGCCAGCTTCAGGAACCTTTCTGTGCCTTCCTGGGCTACCCCCTTCTGTACTTTGGAGGGGTTACAGCCCTGCCTTACTGCATATTTCAAGGAGAGGGAAACAAAAGTGAGCAGGATAATTCCTTGGGGGTGGGCAGTGAGTAGCAAATGGACTTAAAAGACCAAGGATTTGCATTTGTTTACTCTGTGTCTGCTCCCCTGTGCCTTCACCTTTCCCCAGAAGTGGCTTGTATGAGGTTTTGCTGGAGATTGTTTGGAAATCAAGAGTAGGATGTTTCCATCTGAGCAAAAACTGGGTGTAGACTTGTTAAGTTTTGTCTTTGTGTGAGTTATTCAGAGACACAGAAGTGTCGTGAGGCAGAGCCTCGGTCCAGTACTGTATTTAGACATCCTATTTGTCTGTGTTCCTGACTCAGAAATGTATTTCAGCACAAGCTTATGTCCATCTCTGGACAAAGCAACTTGACTTTATGAACTTGCCTGAGTCCCATTAAGTTCCCATGCAAAATATAACTGCATACTTAAAATTCAGTACATGGTTTGCTGATTTAAGAACAGGCTGTTACAGTAAGAACACTTAAGCTCCAGTAAGATGGCTCTTTGCATAATGCAGGACTAAAACAATAATAGGGAGGTTCTTACTCGTGCATTTTTTTGCTTCTAGTGTGTTAGATAAATTGGCACCTGTGGGCACTCGTTAGAAAAGCAAAACTAAAAATCCCAGTATTTGCCAGGAAATGCCCTGCAGTGAGGTCATTCTTGCTATCGTTAACATAACAATCACAGCTGCTTCTAGTACTCAACACTCCTGAAGGAACATGCTTGCCTGCTTGCCTCGAAGTATTTTGTGTGCATCCCTTTTATTCAATATTCCTGCTTCGGAACAAGCTGAGCAAAGTCGTTGCTGAATGTGAAAAGGGCACACAGTACGTGTATGTATTGTGGTGGAGTCGGTGCCGGCCCAAAAAGGTCAGTGTTTAGGCAGAAAAATTCCAGGGCATATGTGAAAGGGCAAAATCGTTAGTATTGTGTAAAAAGCACATTTTTCACACAGGTACTGAACCAAATTCAGCCTTCAGGCAGGTTGTGTCAGTTTACACCGTGACTGAATTTGGCTCCAGTGTTAATGTCACTAATCCGTTATTTAGTGTAAATGTTGTTAATATTTTTGTATACACGTTATAACCCTTCTGTAATTCTGCTACTACCCAAGTCATTCTCTCACCTGAGTTGTCATTAACGAAGAAATGCACACGTTTTGTAAAACTGTATTCCCCATCCTAAATACAAAAGAGAAAAAAACCCAAACACTTATTTCCGGCTCTTGATGGTCTGCGCTATTTGTTTACACTACTGTTATTTCAACTTGAATTCATCTTTTAAGTGTTTTACTTTTAAAAGCACGTTCAGCTCCCAGGATGAGCCTGACGGCGGCAGCAGCTGGAGCAGTTTTCACAGGACGAGGAGGCATTCTGGGTCGAGCAGGGCTCTCTGAGCCCGGGCAGATTTTGAGAGCGCGGCGGTGCTGGATGTGATGCCGGGGCAGGTTCTGGAAGCTGGATGTGACCCCGATCCCGGGGCGGTGCCCGAGCCTTTTCCGCACCTCGTTGGCCACCGCCCCCTCCTCATGGCCGCGCCCCCTTCCCGTCGGCTCCACCCTCCTCTCCCCGCCCATGGGGGCGCGGAGGTGGGCGGGGCATAGGGAACACAGCGCAGCGGCGATTGGCTGCGCACCCCCACCCCCACCCCCTTGCCCCGCGGTGATTGGTCGGTGTGCAGGCGCGGGGCGGGATTGGCTGTTTCGAAGTGCGGACGCGGCGGTGCCGCGCGACCATGGAGGCAGTGCGGTGCGCGGAGCATGGTGAGGGGCGGGCCGGGCCGGGCGGTGTGCGGGGGGTGTTGTGTGTGAGGGGGGTCCCGGTCCCGGTCCCGATCCCGATCCCGGTCTGACCAGTTCCGCGCTTCCCTCCCCCCCGCAGGGTCCCTCTGCTTCCTGAAGACGGGCGTCCGCGATGGCCCCAACAAGGGGAAGAGCTTCTATGTGTGCGGGACGCGGGGCCCCGCGGAGTGCGGCTACGTCCTGCCGGCGCCGTAAGTGGATGGGGCGGTGGGACAAGGGGCACGGGACACAGGCGGCTGCCCTCGGAGAAGCTCAGTGCTGTGTCAGCGCTGTCTGACTCACGTAGTCTTTGTTTTGTCCCACGTGACAGTTTTTGTTTTGCCGTGGCTGTTCCCCTCTTGTCTGTATTCTTCCGCTTGTCCTTTCCTCCTTTCAGTGTCCCTGCTTCTCAGTGCTTGATCCATGAGGGATGCATGGTGGAGCTGCAGGTCCTGGTCCAGCAGCAGGGCAGAGATGAATACGAGTAAGTTCCTCAAATTTTTTAAAAGCTGGATGTCTGCCTTAAAACAGGTAAAACCTACATTCCTTCTTCTATCTTTATCTTATGTTCAGTGCCTAAAATAATTTTCTTAAACTGCTTCTGACTAATGGTCCTTTAGTTTATTAGTTACAGGTAAGAAAACTTGAATCCTGTGATTTAGTAGTTTTTCTGTAATGAGGCTTCAACATCCACATAAGCTGTACCTGTGTCCTGTGGGGAAAGGAGGGCTGTTCTTAGAGCATCTCGTTTTTATGCCATGTTTGAAGACTTAGGATACTACCTTTTAAAAATAGAGATCTTTTTTGTTAAGATCAGGAGGCTGTTCACTTTCTTCATTATTTGTGAACAAGTGAAAGACTTGAACTGCCAGTCTTTCAAAGTGGAAAGGAGGGTTTGTTGTACAGGTTGGAACATTTGGAATTGTTTGATGGCAGCTGACTTGTACTTTCCTTCTAGAATTGAAAAGACTCATCCAGCTTTGAGGCCTTCACTTAGCGTGTTTGCTACTATTATTAGCAGTTATATCCAATGATAAAAACCTGAGTCATCAGATAATGTTTGTTTTTAACAGAGTTGAATGTGGCCCTGTGGTTGGGTTCATCCAGAACTCGTGATGGTTGCACCAAATTCACCAATTTTAATTCTGATAAAGTTCTTGCAGCGCTCCTGGTTGTCTGCCGGTTAAAAAAAGAAATCACATCCAAAGTTTTTCTTTTCCATAGTTGCTTTAAGATGAGGTGGCCTGTGCAGTGTAACTAAAAGAAGAGCTGTTTCCTTACACCTTGAAATCATAGGATTCTTCTGATGCTCTGAATGTAGATAATACTATTGCCTGAGCAGTTACATTTTTATTACTAAAATAAAAAAAAAAACGCAACAAAATAAGCCCAAACCCCAAGGAATCATTATCCAGAGAACAGTGTTTTTTATAAAAAGCTTTACTGTCGATGTTCCTGGTCTTTTGTTATGCAAAAGTCTGAAGGTAAAGTACAGATTAAGAGAACTTGTCTGTGATGTTTTTTGTGTGAAGTACTTTTTAAAGAATACTTAGAGCTTCTTGACTGATTCCTGTGGTTCAAATCTTGTTTTAATCTTTGGTAGGTTGTTTTACCGATGCCTTAAGAGTAAACTGAATGGGAAGAAATGGTGTGGAAGTGTCCCATGGCAGGTATGAGTGTTTTGTTTGTATTATAGTGTCGCCTTATTCCAACATGACTTTTCATTCCTTATCCAGTCATCGCCTCTCAGACTATTTAGTGAGAGATTTAATATTTTCTAGCTGTTAAGTTTATCAGCCTTCTGTCCTCTAGATGAGACTTCTCTTTCTCCTAAATTGTGTGAAGTCCTGATTCTATTAATATGATAGGAAAGATGATCTTTGTAGAGGATGAAGGCTTGCTTGAGACGGTCAGGTTCTGTGTATAGTTAACAGGCTTTAATAAGTTGTATGCCAGCATTTACTCACTTGTATGTGTTGCAGGATCCAAAAGCTACCAAAGTGTCAAAAGCCTTAGAATCCCAGCCCAACACAGCAGCCCTCTTCAATCCCACCAGCCACAGAAATCCATTCAAAGTGCTGGACAAGAATTGTGCACCGTCAGTATGGAAACAAATGAACCAAGGAAACAGGGAGCAAAGTAAAGCAAAAGGAGTAAAAGCAGAGAAGGAGAGTGTGCTGGTGTCACATAAAGAAAAGAAATCAACCTCTGATTCCTCCAAAGAGATACAACCTCTAGAAGGGCTGAAAACTAAAACGAAACCGTCCACAGGAAGTACAAGTGATCCTGAACTTCAGGAAACTACAATGTCTGAATCTAAACTTGGCCTTTCTGAGACCAGGAAAGGGAAAAATAGTCTTTGGGAGGAAGAGAAATATGGTGGCAGTGGCAGGGAATCCAAGAAGTCTTCTGAATGTGCGGGCAAAGAGCCAGGCGCAAGACCAAAACTCTTTCCACTGAGTCTTGAAAAGCAAAATACAAGTACCAAGACACCAGAGGAGGAGCAACTTGAAGAAAAAAGCTTAAAAATCTGTAGGGATAAAGAAATGAGAGAGAAAGGTTGCACTGGTCAGAAAAATGTTGAAGTTAAACCAATGGCTAAAGAAGATGCTATCTCTCCAGCAGTACCACCAGCCCAGTGTGCTGCCCTGGCAGGAGGAGTGGAGGCAGCACCGCCCAAGGCACAAATCAGGCCAGGGCTGCCACAGCCTGCTGGTGAAACCTCTGGCAGTGACAGTGATGAAGTACCATTTGTTCACTGCTCATCAGGTAAAAGTAAACCTGAGAAAACAGTGGAGATTCCTTCAGGAAAGAGTGTGCTGGGGACATCTTTGCCAGGAGCAGCAGCATCACATCACATGGAAAGACCCCAAGACCATAAAGAGCTTCATAACCATCTTGTAGTCCAGCTGAAGCAGAAAAAGGTCATTTTTTGTACCTATTTATTTGGGGGTTTTATTATTCTGAGTTCAGGGTGACTTCCCATACTCATGACAGGCATCAGAATACGGTATCACCTCACAGCAGAAACTCAAAATATGATTTAGGAAGATGGGGCAAGGGAGGGAATTCAACCTATGCACAGAATAGTTGTACTAAGCAGATAGAAGACAATTACCCCTAAGGTAATACAACAAATACATTGGGAATGCTCAGTTTTGACCTGCCTGAGGTTGTGCCTGTCGTTTACCCAAAAGTAATTTGCATAAAATGGATTAGTGCACAGCCAGCTTAACCTTTTTAAATAACTTGGCTGTTTCTGGTGGTCTCTCTTGGCCTTGTGCAGTAAGAGTGATCTAGCTACAAAAGCTCACATTAAGATGAAATAAACTGTTTGGGTTTTTTTAATAGTTGCCAATAACTATGTTCTATAGTTTTTATTACCTCTCTGTTTGCCTAGACTTCAGAACAGAGCCTCAAAATAAAATCAGAACAGTTGTTTGTGCTAGTGTAGAAAGAAACATGCAAGTAGGTTAAACGTTGGGTGCTTTGAGAGATGTTAAGATTGTCCAAGTTTCTTGAATACCTGTTTCATAAAAATGGGGATTCCCTGTGTCCTTCCATCTTTTCTAAACAACATTAAGAGTTAGTTTATTTTCTGCTAAAAGACCACTTAATTGCATTGAATGGCACTTGAAAGCTTTTGGAGATT